AGTGAGATATGAGTACAAAACATTATAGTGAATCTGGTGTGGATAATTGGTACGATTAAAGCTATACAAAAGAATAAAGAATGGAAACGAGGAATGTGTCAAAGAGACAAGAACCGACCAAAGAGCAGAAAACACCAATGAGTCTTCAACGCAGCGAGAAAATCCCGCACTCAGAGGCGGGCTTCATCTGGTCCCTGAATAATAATGTATACTAGTTCAGCGAAATGGACGCCACACTAAACTCTTAAAACACACAAATGAACCAAAATGTAAAAAACACACAAGACTAACAAATTCTAGAGATTCCTGACTTGGAACCGGCGCAAAAATGTGGCGGGGTAAACATGTTTTGTGAGATCTCAATCCTTCCACAAATGTAGGTAAATTTTATATAATGCGTTTCTATACAGAACTTGACTTCACGTGAGATTGACTGTCAAGTTATCAACTTCTCAGGTATTTAAATTCAAAATCTACAAAAACATTCTGTACATAGGGAATATGAATCAAGATAAAAATTACAAAAAGCTGGGTTTAGAGGGTAGAAATGATTTCCGTAGAAGATATTATGGGTACAATACTGTGACATCATCTGTGTTAATAGTATTTTGCAAACATGTTTTGTCTTTGTGTTTTATCCGATTGTTGGTATGGTTTTTGATGATCTGGATAAAAAAGAACAAATACGTTGTGAATGTATAAATCAAAATAAAGAATATAAAGCAAAATAAATAAAAACAAAATTATCATCTTAAAGAAAATGTTTTAAGTTTAGTACTTTAGATGCCCTTAATTTTTGTTTGGTAAAAAAAACCTCCCCTTTAAAGAAAAATCTTTAAAAAAAATCATATCAATGCAAATTTTTTAATGGCACCCGTAGCCCGTTTCTATATATGGTGGCGTTTGTATTTGTAGCAGTTCAGTGTTTCTGTTGTTCCGTTATTTTCCTCTTATAGTTGATGAATTTCCCTCGGTTTTGGTTTGTGACCCGGATTTGTTTTCGCTTAATCGATTTATGACTATTGAATAGCGGTATACTACTGTTGCCTGTACTTTGACCTATAATGGTTAACTTTTACAAATTGTGACTTGGATGGAGAGTTGTGACGTCTCATTGGCACTCATACCACATCTTCTTATATCTATTTAGATAAAATTTTGAACAAATATAATTTTGATGTTTAGTTTATTGTAAGTGTTTTTTTTCATTTTATGTGGGCTGATTGGAAAGTTTAAATTGGAAATTTGTCAGTATAGAATCCTTTTATTTGTGTTATGGTAATTGTATAATATATAATAAAGAAAATTATCTGAAAAATTATCATTCAGACTTTATTCAACTGTGAGTATGTCAGTCGTGGTTACACATCAATTAACTCCTGCAAAATAACCTTTAACCCCAATATTTCCAAAACCTTAAAAGCATGCCAAAATAATGTTAACAACTACGTTAAACAAAGGTATATCAGATGCTTCCTTTGTTCCTAATTATTTGGACTCTAGGTGATTACAAGATTACAACGTGGATACTGTCATCAGACTTATTTCGGTGCTTTGTGTCTATTGGTTTTATGTCAGTGGTTTTTGTACTTTGGAATTATAAACTTTAAATGGTAATAGTTTAGATCTATGAATTATTTGAAAGAATTTAACTGAAACGTGATATATTGAACTAACGTATTATAAATCACTAATAACTATTCTACCTCGATCTATTACAAACATCTGGTTATAATTCTCGGTTGATATGTATATATATATATATTTTAATTTTGCAAAAAAACGAAGTTGCTGTCGTCATTTTAGGTCTTTTACGCTTGACAGCTTGTAATGTATTTATCGGTCTTTGACTGCCCCGGTCTTGTTTGTAGAACTTCTTGATACAAGACTTAGTAAAACTGGAGTAAACACGCCTCTACACGAGAGGGGTCCGTACTCACTACATCAAAATTGACATGTAGGCTAGTGGTCACTGTAGATAACCTAGTGAGACCACTCGACCGCCGAGGACTCAACAACGGATGTCATTAGTAAAACAAAAACGCCTATCCTTCTGTAGCATCGAAGTTCGCCTCTCTTTGTCTCAACAACATGTGCCATTGGCGAAACAGGAATCGCTTACCCTTCTGTGGCATCTAAGTTTGTCACCCTCTTTGTCTCAACAACGGATGCCGCTAGCGAATTAAGAACTGCTTACCATTTTGCATCATCGAAGTTCGTCACCCTCTTTGTCTTAACAACGGAAGCCACTAGCGGATTAAGAACTGGTTACAATTCTGTATCATCGACGTTCGTCACTTTTGTCTTAATAACGGGTGCCACTAGCGAATTAATAACTTCTTACTATTTTGCATCATCGAACTTCGTAACCCTCTTTGTCTCAACAACGGGTGTCACTAGATAATTAAGAACTACTCACCATTCGGCATCATCGAAGTTCGTCACCCTCTTTGTCTAAACGACGGGTGCCACTAGAGAACTAAGAACTGCTTACCATTCTGCAGCATCGAAGTTCGTCATCCTCTTTGTCTAAACGACGGATGCCACTAGCGAATTAAGGACTGCTTACTATTCTGCATCATTGACGTCACCCTCTTTGTCTCAACAACGGGTGCCACTAACGAATTAAGAAGAACTGCTTACCATTCTGCACCATCGAAGTTCGTCACCCTCTTTGTCTCAACAACGGGTGTCACTAACAAATTAAGAACTGTTTACCATTCTGTACTATCGAAGTTCATCACCCTCTTTGTATAAACAACTGGTACCTATAGTGAAACATGAATCGTTTACCATTCTGCATCATTAAAGCATTCTCAATTGTACGGGGTTGCATTTAACGGAAGCGTTGGTCTTGTCGTTTTACTTTTTCTGTGTGCCATAATGTTGTCTTTCCTTTGTCCAGGCATAATTTTATCTTTCCTTTCTCAGGCATAATTTTGATTGCCCCCCCCCCCCCCCTTTCTGGTATCATCTTACATTTTTTGAAGATTTGAGCTTTCATTGTGACGGTTTTATATGCGAACAAATATAGTTCTCGTTCCTGTTCATCCTTAATGTTCATGCCAACCCTAAAACAAATTATCATCGGACATGTTTAGTTAAGGAGGTTCGCTACTCAGTTTCAAAATAACAAGCTTTTCATAACACTAGTATACATTGATAGGGGATTATTTAAGGAACCAAAAGAGCAACCAAAAAATATAGGTCAATGTGTTTGTTTTCGAGATATTAGCCATTGAAATTTTTGGCGGGAAAATGTTCTCTCTTGATTTTTCATAGCCTTATCATTGAAAAGTTCAAGTTCTCAAAAACTATTAAAAAATAACAAAGATTTTATAAGACTTTTACAGATGGCTTATAATTATACATGTAAAAGATTTATAAAAAGAAAAATGGGGGTCAATGGGCAAAATTTTTTGAGGCATTCACACGGATAAAACCAGAAGATTCCGAAAATCTGACAAAAATTCCAAAACATGACAAGCGAACATCCTTAAGCACCGTTTAGGTCTTGAACCTTTCCAAACAAAGTCTATGTAAAAAGTAAAATAACAAAAGTACCGAATTCCAAGGAAAATTTAAATCGGAAAGTTTCTTATAAAATGGCAAAATCACAAGCTCAAACACGTCAAACTACTGTATATACATTAATATTCGTTGGATACCAATTTTCGTGGATTTCGTGGGTACAGTGGTACCACGAATTTAAATGTTCAACGAATTACAAGTTTTCTAAAGTAATGTATGCAGACTTTGCCAAAACAAAGAAATTAAATATCCACAAAAATGCTAGTTTTCCTCAATCCACGAAAATTGGTACCCACGAAAATAAATTAATCCACAGTATCATATTCCTGACTTGGTACAGGCATTTCCTTATGTAGAAAATGGTGGATTAAACCTGGTTTTATAGCTAGCTAAACCTCTCACGTGTATGACAGTCGCATTAAATTCCATTATATTGCCAACAATGTATGAATAAAACAAACAGACATAATAGGTAAAAATTTCAAAAAATAGGGGTGCAGCAGTCAACATTGTGTTATCATCTTAATCACTATAAAAATAAACAAATATGTTAACAAAGAAAAACAAAATGGGATATAGACAAAGCACATAAGCAAAAATGAAAGACAAGAATGCAAAAAAGTGGAACTTCTATTAGGCGGAACAAATATACGTTGACACCTTTCCTATTTTTCTGTCAGGAGATAAGAAACAGGCAAATATATATTTTCGCCTTATCAAGATTTTTGTTTTGAATAACGGTACATTTTTATAAACGTGACTGTTACATGTTAAAAAATTTAGAACAATATAGCCAGAAAAAAATCTTACAAACTGCATGTCATATGTTGATTAAAGCGTAAATTACCAAGACAAATTATGTCGCGGGAAAAACAGCTATATTGCATGTCATCCTTTACAAATTAAGGCGTGAATTAATTAAAAGTGCATAAAATCTATCACAACCTTCGTGTCGAACGTTTCTTAAGGAGAAATTAAAAGCAAAAAATTGTTTCAGAAATCAAATTTGAAAAAAAAAACGCTTGTCACCCGTTAATTATAGTTGAGTTAAATTCTAATTAACTTTGATCAATATTGTGTACTTGTCGTGTATGTAATTAAGCTGGTAACAAATGTAATTATAAAACATTGTTATCGGCTGTCAATTTAAATAATTATGTTATGACAGGTGAAACAATCTGTAAATAAAAATGAAATATATGCGATAGATCTAATTTTTCTTATCTATATAGGCTTATTTACATTTCAATTTTACTCAGATAATATGATATGTGAACGTGCATAGGAAATAGTCACTGCGCATGACAGAAACCCTGTTAAGCACGTTAAAGATAATAAATTGGGTTAGACTAATTCTTTAAAGAGATTATTACGAAGGTATTTAAAGATCTGTTGACATGAATCAGCAGAAAAGGTAAAGTCCAATGAAAATGGGTTTTCATTCACAATATATATTCATTAAACCGTCCCCTCTTGTTAACGTATACTATAGGTATACAAGTGAGCTGATTTGATATAAAACCAATCTATACACTGAAAGAAATACAAATAGGTTTTTTTTTTTTATCTATTCGATTATTTAGTATAATATGAATACAGAGATTGTTTAAACATGCAACGGAAATAAGAAGCGGATTTTTGTTTTCCTATACGAAAGGAGGTTCGTGTTGAAATAATTAATTTATAACTTTAACATTTGAAACGTGTAGTACTTATTACTTGGTTCATGTGAAATATAAATTGTTGATAAGTGGGATACTGTTTGACATTTCATTGTTACTTCGGATACACATCATCTGGTAAAACATTGCATATAAAAGATTGTACCACATGTTTCATGCTATTTGTGTTGCATGTTTTAAAAGAATAACGGATATTACTCTGCTAAGACAAATGCAACTGCGATAATTCTGGGACAGAAGCAAGAAGGCGATTACAAGACTTCTGGAATTAAACACCACAGCCTCAATATACGGTATGCCATAGACAGCAAACAGTGGAAGGATAATGCCTCGCTAAGATTCGATGATAAACGTGCATTTCTTACAAGAAATATGTAGTGTGAAAGATAAAACGAAGCCTATTATCAGAAATCGATATTTTGACAAATTTTAATATACTGATAGACAAATCTTCAACAATGGCATTCGACAAAACACAAATTAAAAAGACAAAATCTTCAGTCACAGTTATTCATGTGGCGGGAATGGAGAAAGAGCAGACGGACATATCCAATGGATCGTCTGCAGACAGTGAAACTAAATTTCCACTGGATTCCAAAACGTCCTTGAAACAGAAGGACTCTGCATTGACAGTTTTCTTGAAATTACTGATATCTAGTATTTGTGGAATAATATTTGGATTTGCAATGGAAAAAGCAAGAGGTAGGTTTTCATATATTTAATATACCCTCTTTTATGATGGTCTGGAGGAAGGTGTCTTCATTTCTGTATTCTTTACTTTTTTAAGGCCATGTTTTTCTTCTTTTCTTTCTTTTTTGCTTATTATATTCTATTTGTTATATTTGATGTCCGTAATATTCTTTATTCCTTATTTGTTCTTTTTTTTTTCCTCAATTTTTTTAACACTATTAAGACCGTCTTTTATACAGTCTCATTCTTGGATACCGCAAAGAGGGTCCCTGATACTGCATACATAACAAAGGGTCCCTGATACTGCATACATAATAGAAAAAGACAAGCATTGTATTGTGATCTGATTAATATTTTATATTGTGATTAATATTAAAACAAGCGAATTTTAAGACAAGCAATTTTCAAAAGTTGAAACTGTTGTAATTCAAGTTTACCTCTAGTTTTAGTTTGCACTCTACTACTATCAAAAGACGAATAGTTCAAATCAATTTGTCTTTATCTGCTCGCTGCCTTTTTCAAAATACAATTCTCTTTTGAAATGGACTATTGATTTATTTGTAAAACGATCGAAAACGGTGGAATATAAAACTTCAATCTAGAAGGCACAATCATCAATTATTTGAAAGAAACAGAAATATTTTAATAAGGATTGTAAACCTTCTAACATTTTTTTTAAAACAATCATTTTTCTTCTACGGAAAATTAATGTCCCACAACTCTTAAACAAATAATAACACTCCCAATATACTACAATATCGGTAAGTACAAAATACAAAACGGATTGAAAAATTAAGTTTGTGTATTAAAACAGGTGACCAGAGACTAATCTAAAATATCTAATCTTATAATGTCCACAAATACTACTATATATTAGTAATCTTTTAAAACTTCGGGCTATTTAAAATGGCTTAGGTTATTTAATTACAAAAAAAAAAAAAATATAACATCTATGCGAAAAAATGTTTTACAAATTCTCATGAAAAGACATCTGGATAATAAGTCTCTAATAGGTATAGAATATTGTAACGTGATTTATAAAAGAACTACATTTGTAAAACGAACAATTTACAGTAAACATGCATTGCACATGTTTTGTAATTTGAGAAAGATTTTGATAAGAGATTTAATGTTTTGTAACTGTTTAGGTTTTACAGCGTCGAAATTTATGGAATTTGGTTGTCACGTATAAAGTCCTTTGGTTAGGTTCCTTCAGAATTGTCACCCAGCGGCTTCCATATAATCAACCTAAAGATAAAAGAAAAGTTGACACTAAGCAACTTCCATAGCATGCATTTTTTTTACCGTAGATAGAAATAAACACGAAAGAGCATTTAGACGTCTTGGACCTGTTTTATGTATACAGTAAAATTGAATTTCAGAAACGTTACAAACAGTTTTATGGCGGATGATAAATGCAGAGCTGTAGATAACTTACCCTGTCGACGTACCCGGTCTCTACCCTCTGTCAGTTCATGCGATTCAATCAGTTCTTATTTTTATACCCCCGCTTTAAAAAAGTGGGGGTATACTGTTTTACCTCTGTCTGTCTGTCCATCCATTCGTCCGTCAGTCCATCCATCCGTCAGTCAGTCCATCCATCCGTCCATCCGTCCCATGAATATTTTTCGTCGCATCTTTCTCAGGAACTATATCATTAGGATTTCTGAAATTTTGTTTCAGGGTTTATATAAGTCAGCTGTACCGTGTGATGCGTTTTCAGATTCATCACTCAACAACTTCCTGTTTACCGAACACTTACATTGGGAGGCGGGGGTATCATCAGTAAGCAGTAGCTAACAGTTTCACTTGTTTTACTTTGATTTGTATCTTCTTAACTGATTTATAAGATTTGAATATCAGTAAACTAATGCAGTATCTATAAAATGGTAGAATGCCACAGTACCAAAAATAATTAGAACAGATAAAACTGAAAAAAGTGTTCTATGTTTAGTGTGACGTCCGTTTTCACTGCACTTGTACATATTTTTGTTTATAGGGACCAGCGGAAGCTCGCCTCCGGGTGCGGGATTTTCTCTCTGTGTTGAAGACCCATCGATGGCCTTGTGCTGTTTTCTGCTCTTTGGTCGGGTTGTTGTTTCTTCGACACATTCCCCATTTCCATTCTCAATTTTATTATTCGTTTCAGTTGTGTTTCTTAGAAATTGATTGTAGATTTAAAAAAAAAATAACAGCATTTTTACCACGTCCAGTGGCTAGTATTTCGTGCATATTCAAAACGATTATTTCTTAATTAACATATGCTGTTTTGTACCAAACCAACAAGTCAACAGGAATACCCCGACATATTAATCTGACTCCGAGCTGACCGATATCTGATATTTCGCCCAAATGCCGAGGGCTCGAAAATACCAATTTGAAGGTAAACTTGGACCTAGTCAGTGGTAAGACCAAACACTATCCCGCACTTGAGGCGAACACTACACCACGATTCAAAACAAGAAGATCAACATGAGTTTTACATATGCAAATATCATAAATCAATTTGAAGTAAACATATATTAAATTATCTTTAGATTGTTGTTGCATTTTGTTTAGTTTTGGATGTACGTTTAACTTTTAGTATTTGCTCTGTAAATAGTTTATCAATTTTGTTAGATACCGCTAAAGTCAATTTTGAGAACGATCGGTAAGCTGAGAACGGATTTTTCAACAGTTAAACTAATCTTAAATAAATTGATAAAACTAACAAGTGTCTTCTAAATGCGATATAAAAGATTAAGATTATCATAGACAATTCTCAAGGTAATTAAAGTACTGAAGTACTGTAGTAGTACACTTTTACAATTGAATTTTTACTAACGTTTCACTCTAAACGAATGTTGATTACCCATATGTAGCCCTTGGAATTTCTTCTCTTGATTTCTTGTGTTAAAAGGTTGCTGCCAAAATGACGTATATACCCCAATGTCTTTCCCTAACTTATTGTAATTTATTTCAATGTCATCCAAGCAAATTAACATTTTAGAAAAGAAATGACAGAGAAAAAAATACGTTTCAATGCCGGATGTTTTTTAAGGTTTGATACCACTAGAACAAACATGTGTTTAGTTGACCGAATGGTACAGTTGCTTAATTGTTGTGACAATATCTCCCTGTAAACTTTGGCTGTCATTGGTTGAGGCTCATATCTACGCAGGCTGAAATGCTTACTCGATCTTGGTCTACCAGATATTAGAAAGTTGCTCATAGTCGTAAGGTTACCCCAGGTGTTCTGTGTTTCTCCGAAAAATAAAATGACGGCCATGAAATTGCGCAAGAATGTAAAATCAAGAACGAAACACACAGTTAATTCAAAAATTTAGAAAATAAAACTGATTGAAGAGTGCTGAGATCAACTTATCATTTGATAGTACGTTTGTGGTATTTTGTAATTCTATAAACTGACGGACGGACAATTGGGATAATTAGCCCTACTTTTTACTCGTTCACTGATGTTACGAGAATCAATTTCTCCAAAAGATCAATGCTTCTGTGTTATCTTGTTTTCGTTATTTATTGTATTTTTGTTGAACGTGTTTCCACAAATACATATGTTTATTCTTCTTAACTATTTGACAAAGTTAAATCATGAATACATACAAGTACTAGATGTAGGCTTCTCATATCTGAGGGGCGTTAGTCCCGATGATATGAGACGACTACATCCGATTTATATAGAAAGGGTAAATAATTATTTTATCTTTACTCTTGTTCTAAAAATAGCAATTAGTTTTGATAAAACAGGAAAAGTGTCATTATCTCAAATTTTCCAGATGCAGTTATAATTTCAGAAAATGTTTTGTGGTTATGGATTAGGCTTTAAATCATAATTGGGTCTTTTTTTTCTGTCATCAAATTGATAAAATAAAATAAGGAAAGCAAAGTAAAAAGAGTAAAACGATCAAGTATTTATAGTCTTAGAATTTGTCGCGTCTCTTGATTGCTTTCCACTTTATGTATACTCAATGCATCTCCAAAAACCGTGGAGTATACATGTCAGGATAACTTTAAAAAAGCATTGTGCCTTTTCATGTGCTTATGAGAATATAATCTCGGATAAATCTCCATGTTACACGAGATTATATAGAAATCTTAATTATCCCTGTTATCGTATCCATTATTAATAAACATCGGCCTAAGAACTTCTTTGTGGGTATAAAGAACAAAGACTTGTAAGTAGGGCAATTAACAACAAGTATGCATTTTAACAATAAAATTATGAAATGTATTAAAACATATTTAGAACTCTTCTAAATTTGAATAATATATCGTCAATGGTAGTTCTTTAAGAAGCCTTCATTTTATAATTTATAAGTATATCCGTATATGACATTCAAAATAACGCTATTTGTATTTACTAGTTCTTTATTTTTCCCAGTAGAATATTGGAAAAAGAACAGATGAAATATGCACACGTTGTTTTTAGTTACAATTTTCTTTTTCAATGATTTGTATCCTAAATGATTAATTTCGATTGATAAAGAAAACGGTAGAACACTGAAGTGCACATGCAGGGGCGGATTCAAGCAAGGGCGTGGCGGGCGTGCGCCTCCCCCCTAAAATTTGCAAAGCATAGGTTGTCCTTAGCTTAATAAAGAATATTTCGATAATTTTACTTAAAAAAAATTTAAGTTTGCCCCCCTCCCTCCTCCAAATCTAAAATCCTTGATCCGCCCCTGACATATGTTGTATTTTGGAAAGGCAAAAAGACAGATGTGTTACAAAACTGATGCTGCAAAAGGAAAATGTATATCTATGGGTGGATCCTCCTGAATACTGAGTCGTGAGCCTTTTCGCCGTGTTTAAACACCGACTCTTACTTTGAGTTAAAGAACAACAATTAAAAACGTTGTTCCCTTGCTTAGCCCTTGGTTGATGGTGATTTTGCTCATTGTTGCACGAAACCAATTCTAGTCAAACGAATGAGGATACTAAGGGGGTTGTCATGAATAATGAATCGTGCCCTAGGTCCGTGTTGAATCTCTAATTGTGACTTTAAACGAAGAATA